CCCTGCCGTGAGGGAGGGAGGCTGGCGGCTGCCTCGTGCTGGAGGACGTTAAAGCTTGGGCTCAGCCCATCCCAACAGAAGGGCAGAGGCCACTTTGGGGACCTCAGCCAGCCAGAGACAGCCAAGCCCCGTCCACCAGCCGAGCACCTTCCCTCCTCTCCCTCCCACTGACTGGGTTAGGGCAGCAAGAGCGCTGCTGCTGCTGCCAGCTGCCCAGGCCACCACGACGCAGCCCCTGGGGAGGCTGGGGAGTGTCACACACACACACACACCCAGGACACATCGCTGCAAGGGATTCAGACCTCAGGGGCAGGGGGGAGACTTTCCCAAGCAGCTGGAAACAGACCCACCTCGGGACAGTGGCTGCATCACCGCAGCAGGGCTGTTCCAAGGGCCCTGGACCACCTACAGCTTCGGCCCTGCACGGGGCTGGGGGGTGCCCCCACACCAGCGCCTCTCTTGTTTGTGTCTGTTCCCCACTGGGCTGCTCGGGGCCTCTGTGAGCAGCGCTTGGCCTCAGCCACCAAACCTCAGTTCTAGGCTCTCTATGCAGAGCCAACAGATCTGCTGCCACGGGCGCTGGCAGAACAGCCGTGCTGCGCGGGGACACCAGGAGGGCTGTGCAGAACCGCAGGCCCGTGGGGTGCTCTGGGAGGGGGGCACACCCCCTCTGTGCTGCCCAGCGAGGGGGGGTGGGTTGAGAAGAGGTGAATTACCGCAAACTCAGAATAGGTGCTGGCAACAGAATTAATGCTGTGGTTACGCTGGGCAGGGGCTGTGGGGGTGCACCCACCGCTCAGGGTGGTTCCGTTCAGCTGGGACACGTTCTCCTTGTTCCTCTCCCTGTGTCTGGGACGGGGGGGCTTCACAGCCGCACGGCTGGGTGTCTGAGCCTGGCCAAGCTAGGGGAAGAAGTGACAGTCAGACAGGGCACAAGAATCAAGCGGAGCTAGGAAAGCTGTGCTAGCATCCCTGCCTGTCGCTCTGCGGTACCAGAGTAGTTTCAAGCTCGCTACTACCCTCATCCTCCCTCCGGTCCCAGAAATATCCTGCCAGGATCACGGCAGCCCAGCACAGCAGGCAATGGACAAACAGGGGCTTTTGCACCCCAGGAGCTTGGCAGGGGAGGCAGCGATGCACAGCACGGCAGAGCTTGCCCATCTCCTCCCCAGCCCACCCTGCTGGGCAAGGGACTCCCTGGAAAGCTCCTTACCTTCCCTCCGGAAGGTGGCAACCGGGATGTTGGCGAGTGGTAGATGGTTCCCCCAAAAACTGAGCGCACAGTGCTGTTGGGTGTGGCGTTGGAGATGGAAGTGCCATTGAGCTGAGGGGAAAAGCAGAGCACATGTCATGCGGGGAGGAAGCTGGCGGCAGCGCAGAGCCTTCTGCCTCCAGAGCACCACAGTGCAACAGGCTCGATCGTCCCCAGGGAGGAGAGGGGTGCCCAGGGCCTGGGCCCTTTCCCTGCTCCCATCACATTGCCGCAGCACCCGAACCCTCCCCGCGTCTCTGTGTGGGACCGAGGCCAGCCCAAAACACGGCAGGGCTCCAGCTCGGCTCCTGGTGGCACCCCAGCACATCTACGCCGCTTTGCACACAGTTTACCTTCCTTACTTTGCCAGGTGTGTGGGGGCCGAGCACTCGCCGCTTGATGGGCGTCCGCGGGGTGCTCCCATACATCATCTCCGTCTCAATCTGGCGGCTTTTCTTCAGGTGCTGTGTGAGAGATCTGCACTTACAAACCTGAGCAGAGGAGCAGCAGGCTTCTGCTGGCAGGCAGTGCCCTGCGGCCGGTCTGTGGCACAGCCAAGCAGCAGGTATCCCAACAGGGAGGTACGGGTATCCAGAGCCAAGCTGCAGTGCTGGCACAGCTGGGGCCAGAAAAGGGGCTCAACACGCACAGAGCCTGCCAGCAAGGGGCACCAGACCCGCTGTCAGAGAACAGCAACTGCACGCAGAGCCGCTTCCAGGCAGGGAGTGAGAAGAGAGAGAGCCCCGGGCAGCGGCGGGGGCAGCCCCCCCCGCCCGTCCAATGCAGCAGAGGCTCCTCCAGGCCAGAAGGCAGCACCCTCAGCTTCACACTCACCCGCTCCTGTTTCTCCTTCTCTTTCTCCAGGCGGTACAGCTGCCACTGCTCCGCCACGTACTCCATGAACTGCTGCCCCTTCACCAGGAAAGTCCCCTCGTGCTCCTGCTCCCAGGCCAGGACCCTGCTCTCCAGCTCCTCCTGCAGCTGATGGGGACACAAGGGCAGTGTAGAGAGGCTGCTGCCCTCCTGAACGTGGGCATCTCCACACCCAGGACATCCCTTGCTGGCTCCAAGAGCTGCACTTCTCGGTCAGTGCTGCACAGGCCTATCTGGGACCACGGCTTCTCCAGGGCCGAACCTACCTTGGAAAGGGTCTTCTGCAGCTTTGCTCGCTGCTTCTCTTCTTTCAGCAGATTCCCCCCACGGTTAGCGAAGCGACTGGGGTCAGTTGCTTTCCTCTAGCACAGAAGGGAGGTCAGGAGAGAACCAAACACACCGCCCAGCCTCGCAGCCCAACAGACCCTGGAGGAAGCCTCCCTCCTGCGCAGCCCCCCATCACAAACCACACCCGTGCTCTGGATACAGCACCCCATCCCCTCACTGACCCACTGTGGTTTCCGAGTGCCTCCCTGGTCTTTCCCAACAGCACTTTGCACATGGGAACGGAGGCGTGCACTGCCTGGTGACCTGGCACCGAGCCAGGCAGAGCACATTCCTGCCTGGGCAATACCTCCAGCTCCAGGAACAGCTTCCAGTTCTCCTCCCATTTCTGGACAGCTTCAAACAGATCTTTGTGTGTTTCATAGTAGCTCTTCATCTTCCTCACCTCAGCATCATGGAGCTCGAGCAGGGTCTCTGTATAGTCCTCTGGAGAGGATAGAACAGCATGTTCAGGAGGCAACCAGGATCCCCACCCCTCTGCAGCCCACGGCAGCCCTTCTCGGCAGGCGGCCTGCCAGCAGGCAGCCTACAGCTCCCACGGAGCAGTCAGCGAGCAGGAGGAGCCAGCACCCACCATCGTAATAGGGGCTGAAGCCTTCCCTCTGCTCCTGACTGTAGAAGCATTTGTCCCAGTAGCCAGCCAGCTCTGCCCGGATTGCCTGAATCACGGATTTCATGTTCTGCAGCTTCAGCTCCTCCAGATGATCCACTTCCAACTGCAGCTGCCAAAGAGACCAGAGCACAGACTCAGAGGAGGCAGCATGAGAAGAAGAGGAGCAGAACAGTATTTATGCTCTGCATAAGCCACTTTCCAAGAAGAGGCAGTTGCCAGCACCAACTCCGAGCTCCTCCACCTGTGAGGGCAGGATTTGGCCTGCTGACCTCACACCTGACTGCTGGAAGAAGCTCCTCCGCTCTGGGTGAGCAAACAGGAGCGTGAAACCCAGAGCTGCTGCTCCCCAGCCCTCCCCCTCCAAGGGCACGGGGTGGTCCTTACAGCTTTCCTGGTTTTGGCTCTGGATCCAGTCATGTGCACCGCAGACAACTCTCTCTCCTCCACAGGAACCCGCAGCCTTTCCCAAAGCGCCATGATTCTGGAGCGCAGCTCGGTGCACACAGCTTCGTTCAGGGATTGCCGGGCTTCCAGCTACAGGAGGGAGAGCGCAGGGTCAGCGCCAGCGCAGCCCGGCCCCGAAGGGCACGAGTAGGCAGTTTGCTCTACTGCACCTAGCAAAGCCACGCGCTCATCTTCCAAGATCTCGTGCAAAAGCTCCCAAAAAGACGTTCTAATGCACAGGCTGGCTGAGAACTGGGCGGTCGCTCTTTACATCACGATGCCAACTGCTCCCAGGGCCCATCAACAGCCTCCGCAGCAAGCGAGTGCTGCCTCAGTGCACCAACATACCTGCTGCAGCAGATTCTGGAGGGCAGCAATGTTGTCCGTGGACAGGCAGAAGGCTTCCTCGTCCTCGCACACCACGTCCCGCTCAAAGCTTGTGTCTGGAGTGTGGTCCAGCTCCTCCATGAGGAGGATGATTTGCCGCTTGCTGCTGACAAACTCTTCTCGCCTTTGCTCCTGGAGGTGACGATCGGCATTAGAAACCAGCGAGCACCCCGCATGCCACCCTCAGCAAGACCCTCACCCCCTCTCCGCTTACCCTCTCGGTGGTCAGGGAGGCCAAGTGGCGCCGGTAACGATCCAGGTCCTCCAGACTGGGCACGGCATTGCTGTCAATACAGAATGGGGCTGTGCAGAGGATGTCACACAAGTCTCGATCCTGTTCTTGCAAGGTTTTCAGCTCCTGCTTCCTATCCCTTTTCTGCTTTAACATCACTTCCACACGGGTGCGCAAACTCTTCTCCATCTGCAGAATGGTACTTTCTTCCTCTACCTGGAAGAGTCCAGAAATCAGCTCTCTTCTCCACAACTCTCAGACCCCACTCACATGTTTAAGGCTTCTTAAATGAAGACCTGGGACACAAGCCCTAGTTCTGAGCAAGATGTTCCCCAGGAAGGTGCAAACGCAGCAGCCATACACAAAACGAGATGCTGCAAGAGACCTGGTCTCCTCACTACCATCTCCCAGCACCCGACCTGTGAGGAACCGCAAAGCCTTCCCCTCTACCAGCATCAGGAAAAGTAGCTTTGAACAGCGAGCTCCAGCCTCACCAAGACACCCAGGCAGAGGGCAGGCAGCAGACGACTGTTGCCAGCACGATCCTAGGAGTGAAAAGCAACACAACACCGTACCTCAAAGGGATCCAGCTGGAGCTCCCTGCAGAGGGTGTCAAGCTCCTTCCGACACAGGGCAATGCTCTTCAAGAGACGCTCCTTCAGGCTCTCCTCCTCGGCGACCATCATGTCCAGGAGAGTCTGCAGCACAGGCATGGTCAGGGGCTGGCCGTGGGGATGGAGGGCAAGAGGGGAACACGCAGGGAGACCGGGCAGGAGGCTGGAGAACTGCCACGGGGGCCGAGCGAAGACAGGGCCAGAGGCGGGGGTGGGCAGCGCGGGGAGCCCGGCAGCAGCGGGGCAAGGGCAGGGGCACAGCCACCTCCCCGGGTGCTCC